AGATCATATTATAACAATATTTCTCCTAGAAATATTTTTAAAGTAAAAAACTTACCGACCTGAACAACGAAATGATTGAATAGTAGCAGTTTCAAGCATTTCCACTGATTTTCAAACGTCTCAGGCTTATCCTTCACAGAAAAATTATAAAATAATATAATTATTATATAATAAATTCATAATTATAATAGAATAATATTAATCAAAATCTCACCTTTTGAATTTTGAACCTCCTCATGAACGGAATGAATTGAAAGAGAAATGACGGCAAGCACAAGCCAAAGTATACAACCTTCAAATAAAATAATATTATTATTAATATTGTAATAATTAAATATAATTAAGTAATGATTCAATGAAACAACCCACCTCATGAACTATCAAAGAGCCGTAAACAGCAATAGTATATTTCGAATATTTCCTTAACATTTCGTTCCAAAAATTCTCAAATATCGGTTGAAATGGATTAGTAAGAAGCTCGGATAGGACGTTTTCAATGTTGTTTATTACGAAGTTCGTATAATCCGTATCGTTCGACATGATTTTGAAGTCAGTTTATCGATATATTCGTTTTTTTATTGAAAAGATTTTCAATGAAAGCAGGCTAAAAGAAAATTGCATTTAACTTTTATTCATAAAACTGAACAACGTATCTGTTGTCTGCATTTAAAGTTAACATTCCTATAAAATACACTTATTTTAAATCATTTATGCGAAAATGAAAAAGATATATAGATAGATGGAGAGAGACAGATGACATCATTTTCTTCAAATTACATATACGGAGAGAGAGTGAGAGAGAGAGAATAAGATCACAGACTATACAACCTAATCAGCTGATGGCAGTATCACATGTTTTCATTGTTAAAATAACAGCACAGTGCACATGTAAGCCGATCTCCGTCATCCAATTAAATACTTTCTCGTTTAAGTTTCCGATTTTCCCCGTAACTACACAAGTCATCACGATATTAAATACGGTTAAATATTATTAGTTATAATTTAGACTATGATATAATATCATTAGATATAACCTTTACAAAAATATAGAACTTTATAGTAAAATACATTGAGAAACTCAGTACAAAAGTTTATTAGAAATACTATCATTCTATGGCGAATGTTTAAGAATTAATGACAAATAACGAATGTTAACGAATCTATTCTATAATTAACAGATATAAATCCAATATAAATAATTTATATACAATTTTTTTCCGTAATTATAACGTTAATATCTCAAAGCCATCAGAAGTTATAAGGATGGTGTGTTCAAACTGTGCACTCATTGAGTTATCACGCGTTACAATAGTCCAACCATCGTTTAATACCTCTATATCTGGCTCACCTAAGCATACTACCGGCTCTGTGGTTATTATTATATGAAATAATTATTACTATCATAATAATTATTTATTATAATTACTATTTACAATCATTAAAAGTATTACAAATAAAATTTCTAAAGAATAAACCAATTGTAAAAGTCATTCCCTCTTTCATTGTGCCTTCGTCGTCATTGGCTGATAAAAAAAAATATCTTTTTATCGATATTTTTTAAAGTATCAATAATAATGATACAAATAATTATGATGATAATAATAATAATAACAATAATGATAAACATAATAATAATAATAACCAGTGTGTATGATTTCAGGGGGCCCATGAAAAAACTGACCTATACCATGCCCACAGATATCTGGGACTACTGTCATGTTATTCTGCCTAACTATTTCGCTAATTAGAGAGAAGAGAACAAAAAAATACAAAGAAAGATATAACAATGATTAATTCATTAGCGGTTTTAATGAAAGTCACAAAAACTAACCTAACCTAATAACCTTACCAATGGCATTAAACCTTTGCCCCGGCCTACAAATTTTGATTGCCTCATCCCTACAAAGTTTAGCAACACTAATCAGATGCAAGGCAGTGTTATCTACATTATCTCCAACTGGGTACGTATATGAAACATCACCATGATGATTATTCTTATAAACCTGATAGATGGTAATAAAAAAATTATTGATTGATCAAGTTATTGAAAATAAATTTTAATTATTGATGTATACAAGAATTATGAAATAAATTAACTATAATTTAGAATGTGTATGTATCTATATATATATATATATATATATATATATATATATATATATATATATATACTCAAAAATAGGATCAAGATATAACAGTATATATATACACACAGTATATATACAAATTTCATTTCAATAATTTTATTTGAATAGAATATGAATAGTCATTACAGTTGGAATAAAAAAGTTGAAAGTGATAGTCTACAAGTATACAAATGACATTGAAATTTATTTAAGCAAGGCTCGTTAGTCATTCACTAACCGTCACATCGATATTGATGACATCTCCATTCTGCAGTGGCCGATCATCGGGAATGCCGTGGCAGGCCACGTTATTCACGGACGTACAAATTGATTTAGGAAATTTACGGTACAACAATGGAGATGGATAAGCATTATTTTCGATACAAAGTTGATGGGCAACCGAATCTAAATGATCAGTCGTAACACCTGGTTTCACTAATTTGCCTATTTCATCTAAAATACGTCTGGCGAGTTTGCACGCACTACGGTGATTAGCGATATCCTCAGGCGTTTTCTTTTTATTAAATATTGGCTTAACTTCTTGTAAATACTGCTTGTAACTTTTCACGTATGTGGGGGCCTCGATGTGATCAGGCACGCTCCGGATTTTTGAAACTTTTTGTTTTTGAGGTTCGACAATGGCAAAAGTTCGTGAAAAATTTTTTTCGGAAATTTTTTTACGTAGAAATCTTTCTAAGAAATGACTTTTTGAACAATGAATACTCATTTCTTTATTCACTTATTCAACAAATTTAAATGAGAAAATGCAAATAAGATGCACGAAACAAAAGTTTGAAAGTTTTCACCATGAATCAGTTTAAATGTGGATTCAAGCGCAATTATCCTAGAATAGAGTATGATCGAGTTACTAACGGTAACAACCACTCAATTAAACAATCAAACCAGTCAATTAAACAATCAAACCAGTCAATTAAACAATCAAACCAGTCAATTAAACAATCAAACTAGTCAATTAAACAATCAAAACCAGTTAATTTAACTTGAATCCAGAGTCTGACAAATCACGAAAACAAAAACAACCGACTCCCGTATACACAACAAACGCTATGACCATGGGTTCATGCCGAGGTCACGAAGACGCAGACATCATACCCGTTACCATTCCACATCCACCCATCGTTGCCACAGAAATGAAGTTAATAGCTGTTTCATTCCCTTTTGCAGAGCTGGGACCGGATATGGCGGATAACAACGGTCATCGGTCGGTGCGCCCACTCACGCAGGCAGTCTTCGGAAACAGTTATCTGGTCGGTTTCAAATCGGTTCAGAAGGGTCACACAGATTACCGACGCTGTTATTTCGTGTTCGTAAAATTTGTGTAATCAAATGTGTCCATTAATGCTCGTTGCATTAATGTCATACATAAACGTCTGAATTTTGTGGATATTTATAAAATTGCGAATCATGACATAAACAGTATTTAGATATAATTAATAAAAAAACATACACTACAAGCAAACATACATTCAAGCAAACAAACAAGCACTCATAAGTACAGAAAAAAAACAATATTAATAATGATACCGTACCGGAAATACCGGCCTGGCAGCACATGGTAGCAAAAGTCAACGACTCCATCTCTACGTTACGTACCCCGTCGTCATATGCTTTCTTAAGGAAAGCTTGCTTCTTCTCCATATTGAATTCACATCTTGCTCCATCTAGACGAGCCTGTCCTAATGACCATGGTTACACGTACAAACACATGCTTACACACACACACACATACATACATATATATATATATATACACACACAGAGATTCATACATACACGCATACAGACCCTCATAGAAGTCCCAGGAGCACATAGTCTTGCCAGGAATGATCTGAAAATCATCACTCGGATCGCCACATTTCAATAGTTTCTCGTTCTGTGAAACACTCAACGACGATGGGATCTTCACCAATTCTCCCAATATCGGCTAGTAATAAATAAACCAATTACTAATACATTCTTTAATTCATACATTCATTCGTACTCATTCAATCTTTCATTCATTCGTTAATTTATCCATTCATTCATTCAATCGTAAACCAAGTCATTCAATTGAACACACACACACACACACACACACACACACACACACACACACACACACACACACACACACACACACACACACACACACACACACACGTGCAAATATACCACTTCCAAGAACGGTCTCAACAAGCCGTCAACAGCAACACTCGTTATGACTACTGTTCCAGCTGATATACCTTAGATATTTAATCAATCGGTCAATCAATCATTCACCCCCTCAATCCAACCAATCAATCAGTCAATTAATCAACTAATTATTCATTCATTTCATCAATCCATTGATTCCTTCATTTTTCATTCACTCCTTCTTAAACCACTCATTCGCCCGCCGGTTAACTGACTCATTCAATCCACTTATTAAACCATTCATTGGCTTACAAACTTAACGTACGCACGCACACAGACACACACACACATACCTATGCCACCGCTCGTCCCAATCCTAAACATGCTGACATCGGTAGCATTGGAGTAATAAAGAACCTTTATGATCTCATTCAGGACCACTGATGACGAAGATATGCCAATACCATGCTAGTTTGAAGTCAATAAAGACATATCACTACAACAATAGTCAGGCTGGCAGTCAAGAGACAAAGAAACGAATAAAAAGATAGATAGACATACGGCTAAGCAAGTTAAAGAGAGAGACAAACACGAGTTAACGCATAGTATTAGTCCGACTTTATACATAACACATCTACCAGATAGATAACTGAGTAACAAAGAGAGAAATATGTAGACATAGAAAAAGAGACATACATACAGACAGAGAAACACATACATTAACGCATAGTACGGGCCCGACTTTATACATGACGTATCTATCAGTATTCTTACAGATGTTGGCCAGTTGGAAGCCAATAGGTTTTGAAATGTTCAACTCGTTCAGCAGCCGGTCAGCCATGTTGTACACTCGGCCCTGGCTGCCACTGAAACAGACGTACTGTGAAGGAGGAGGTAGTAGGTTATTGATATCATCGTCAATAATTTATCGTTAAATTATTAATTAGCGTGGTCCTATTATTACACTTTTTGTCATTATTATTGTTGGACTAAAAGAATTAATTAACGAACGAATGAATAATTGAACGAAAGAATGAGATGAGGAATGAATGAACGAGTGATGGATCGGATAACAAGTATTAAATGAATAAATGGATAGCTTACTGAACGAGCAAATTAAACGAATCAATTAATGGGTGAATAAACGAATCGAGCAGACAAATTAAAGACCGAACAAAAGAATGAATTAATGAATGAATGGATGGATGGATGAACGCAAAGAAAAAAAGAACATAAAAAAGAAATCCTAACTTTCAGATCACTGAAGGTCTCGTTGAAATGTTTCATTTTGGTAGAGAGGCCCAGATGGTGAAAGGTATCCGCTTTCTGATCTCTCAAGAAATCATTTCTAACCTGCACCGGCCTAAAATCAGGGGAAGTTTAATTAGGAGTAATTCAATATTTAAATAAAATTCTCCTTGAAAGTAAACATGTAACACGAGTGCAACAATTAAAGGAAAATAAATTACTAAATAGATGGATGGATTTTTTTAATAAACGAAGAGAAGATCGATAGATATATAGAGACAGATATATACAATCTATATTCTATCTATCTATATATACTATTTTGTCTATATATCTATATTATAGATACGTAGATAGATACAGACATGCAGTATCAAGTTGGAATAGGTGAGTAGTGAAAAATGTCAATAACTACGAGGATGAGTAATAACACAACCGAGCGATAAGCCGAGTACATAAAACGGCAGCTACTTTGCCGAAGTAGAATACGGAATACAAAGTACATCAATACGTTACCTCACTGCAGAAGATTTCAGTGAAACAAACATCAATGTATAGTATACAAACAATAACTCGATGAAAATAACCTTTTCTTCTTGTCACTGCCTGTTGTCGTGACACTCATAACGGTCTTTTCGAGACTCTGTCTATACGAGGTTATGAAGTAAACAAATACAACTTGTAACGCCAATTACAATAAAATATAATAACTATAAGGATATAGTCATACCTCTTGTAACAGCACAAAGTTTATTTTCTCACATTACGTCATCTAGAAAGAGTTGGGCGGTTAGGAAAAAAAACATCCAACATACATTAAAAGGCATCTTATATATATATCAGAGAGACAGATAGATAGAGAGCTGAGTAGATCAATAGATATGCAGATAGATATATAGATACATAGCTAGATATAGATATGCAGGCATAGACAGACCGACAGACCATATACGTACACACACACACTCACAAACATACTATGTACACGTCAAATTAGACATGAAATAAACTTTTAGTAGAAAGTATCACATGTACACATTTTATTAATGATTAATTTTTAACTTAATAATTCACTTTTTTCACTAATTTTAATGAAAATATACACTGCCAGAGTATACATTTTGATGAATTTGTACTTTCGAATGATGGAAAAATAGATATATGGATGAAAAACGCAGCATTTGAATAAATTTAATCATTAAAAACAAATTATTTGAGATGATTTTTTCATTAAAAAGTCAATTTAGAATTTCAAGTCTGCCTCAATATTATCTCCATCAAATATAACTACAAGATGATGATAGAAAACTGGCTAAGTTGAAGATTTTAAACATTAAATCAAATACACATAAGCGATGATGCAGGTCAACATTTCTTCTTCACCACCATCATCATCATCTTGACCACAAATACTATGATCATCATCATCATCATCATAACCAACAACAAGCTTACTGTCATCATCATCAGCACCACCATCACCTCAACGAAAAACCGAAAGCAATCTTATTGTAATCATTTCATAAATACTGTAGCATTGAAAAAACTCAACTTTCAAAATCCTTCAACTGAATATAACTAAAAAAAATAATAATTACGATTACAATTAAGAGAAATAATTATCTATATGTGCTTGCTACATTCTTATCATCATCGCCATCTCTTTCCTAACATTAAACAAGCCATCAAAAAAGATCATTATACAATATATTGCAATGCATCGTATTGCATTGTACACTAGTTTGTATGTATGCACGCATTGTATTGTGTGGGTTTGTATGTTTATGAAACTTTTAAGCCAAATAAAATGTTTTTATTGAAACACAAAAATGTTTTATACACACACACACACACACACACATATATATATATACTATGCATGCAATGCTTATAAATGTTATAAATAATAATTGCAATAATAATAACAGCAATAATAATAATAATAATAACTATAAACTTACCAAAATTTAGATCTGTACATTAATAACAATAATAATATAATTAGATTAATGGATACTTCTACATAACGAATGCATAATATCCACTTATCAGTACAAAGTTCATACATAAAAACCAATTCAGTTGAATGTTGAATTTTACATTGGAAAAATGATAACAAAATAATGATGAAAAGATTTGTTATATAAGAACTTAAAAATAATAATAATAATAACGGTAAAATACTAAAAAGAAGAATAATAAAAAATAAGAATAATTTTTCTAGAGCCTAAATTTATTATCTCCACCGGGCAGGTTGTTGTTATTATTGTTGTTGTTGAACATGAAACCATCTGAAGTTGATGGTGGGGCTATGTCAACATCTTCGTCCTCGTCCTAATTCATGTGAGTAAAAAACAAATTAGTGAATTGGGGATCGTTGAAGAAGTTTTTATAAAAACTTATAAAAAATTTAAACCAGTTTGAAAAACTGCAAAGAAATTTGAAAAATATAAAGTTAGACAAGTTAGAAGAATGTAAGCAAACCTTGAAAAATGTAAACGAATTTGAAAAAACAGTAAAGTAAATGTAAGCAAGAAATAAACCAAATTAGCATTCAAGATAGAGACAATAACATGATGATGGCGTGAGATTAATAACCAATTGCTATTATTAACACTTGATTACCATCACAACTAATTAGATAGAATAAAAATTACCATCACAACTAATTAGATAGAATAAAATAGAGAAACATAATCGAGTATTTATCAAATTCAAAAGTCGCTGACCCCGGCGAAGTAAATATCAAGAACTTCGTAGGCCAGCTTGTAGATCTCCTCATTCTCATGGTGTTGAAGTGCTTCTAACTTGTCGAGGCCTGATGAATTATCAAGTTATGATGAAATGATTAGAGCAGGGAAAAATTACAAATCAAATAACAATTGAACTACTTTAAGATCAGACCAACCAAAATTAAAAACTTTAAAACCTAACTAAATCAAAATCAACTACACAAAATTGAACCAATTACAATCAACTATCTACAAATCTAACCAATTAAACCAACCCTCTACAAATTTAACCATTCAAAATCAACCAATAAAAATCTACCGGCTATGAAGGAAAAAACCAGCCAGCCAACCAATCAGCAGCAGCAACTAACTCACCTCCACACTCTTCAATCAGTGTACTGATGCGCTCGACATCCTCTTCGGCCATCTTCAAAATATTATTCAACCCATCCAGCACGACCTGTATGACCTGGGTGTCCTTCACAGCCAGAAGATTGCACAATGGTGGAATTACTCCACAGTTAACAACATAGGCTACCTAAGTTTTGTTATACATAGTAGTAGTGATATAAAAATTAAATACATAATCACACATACACAAACTCAACAACAACAACAACACACGTTTAGATGACATTTTCCCCGAGATTGGGGTTGCCATTTGGCTACCTATGATGAAACCATTGTCACTTCTGTCATCATAAGTAATTTATTTGGCTAATTTTTACGCAGGACACCCTTCCTTACGCAACCAGTTATAAGCGGTGGGCCTAGCCTTTGATGATCCAACATCACTCACAAGGCAGTGAGGGTCAGTTTAATGTCATAACCAGGACATACACATACACAAACTCACCCATATATACACACATACCATTCAACAAACACACACGCACACAAACATACCAACCAATCAACAAACACACACACACACGCACATACAGACCTGATCTTTTTTGCCACTGATGGTTAGATTACTAATAGCCCAAGCAGCTTCTTTTTGGGTTTGAAATTCACTCTAAAGAGAAAATATATAACTTGAATTATGAGAGAGAGAGAGAGAGAGAGAGAGAGTGCAAGAATGCGAGAAAGATACAGACCTTCTCCAAATGATGTATGATTAGTGGTATCAACTGTGAATCTATAACGGCCTGAACTTGGCTCTGGTTGCCAGCTGTAATGTTAGATAGGAACCAGACGGCCTCCTTCAATTAATAAATTATAAATTTCATAATAACAATAATTTCATGATCATAATTTTCGTAATTATAACTTCATGGACAAGAATAATGTTGAGAAGAAAAAAAATTTCATTCAATAGCAAGAATATAAATAAGAAGAAAGAAGAACAGCAAAAACGACACCTACCTTTATAAGCTTGGATTCAAGAAAACCTACCTTATTAATTTTGGATTTGTGGTGCGTTAGTAGGCTCTGGAAGTACATGAGGGCCCCGCAGTTGAGAACGACCTGGGTCTGCTCGTCTGTGCCCGTCACTATGTTGCCCAGGGCTCTCAGGGCTGCTGTCTGCAAGTCAACCATTTTGTGAACTTGTAATGAATTAGGGCTGAACCAATGGTTGAATTGGTGAACGAATGAATGAATGAATGCAAAAAAATGAAACAATGAATTAGTGAAAATGAATGAACAAATGAATGAATTAGTGAATGAATTAGAGAATAGAGTGTAAACAAAAGTAAATATTTGAAAGAGTTATAGAATGAGTTGAATAAATGTAAGAGCTACTGAATGAATTAGTGAATGATGAATCAAATGAGTAACAATAACAGTCAGATAGTTGGAAGCCCACATACTTGAACTTTGACCTCCTGGTGACTCAACAGTGGCACCATAAGGGGTACTACACCCGAGTCGATGACCATTTGAATTTGATCATTGCCCCCGTCTGTCAGGTAGGATAGGGCCCAGACCGTGTCGACTAGGATCTTTGGGGCAGAAATGAAACAAAGGGTAAAAAAAAAAATAGTTTTAAATAATGGAACAACATAAAAATCAAAAACAACAGATTAGAGAAATTAGCAGGACACACATAAATACAATACAATCAAATGAATAATTAAGCAAACCAACAAGCAATCGCACAAACAAACACAAAAGCAACAAACATTGGTATCATCGTGTCTGATGAGGCAGAAGAGAGCAGGCAGGATATCTTGAATCATCTCGACAGGTGGGGGTGGATCCTTATTACGACAAAGGTTTACTATAACCCAGGTTACATTACGGAGAAAGGAAAGTGTGACATGGGGATTTATGAAATTAATCAATGGCTTCACTATGCCCAATCCAATCACATAGTCTCTACACTGGGGTCCATCGCCTGTAGGGATGTGCATCAAATCATCATTAATATCCCTATCATCGTGCCAAATAATTAATTACAAATTATTTCAATTATATATTTCAACAACAGTAAGAAAGATTACAATTACCAATAATGTTCCCTAGAGCCCAGACAGCTTGTTCACATACATTCTGATGTGCTGATTGAAGTAAGTTCAGAAATAATGGCACTGCTCCTGTCAGAAAACAAAAATTACACACGTTTAGCATCCTATTTAATTTAAAATTAGTAAAAAATTATTAGCTTGCCTGCTTTGACTACAGCCTGTGTTTGTAGGGAGGTGCCAGATGCTATGTTTGTCAGTGCCCAAGCAGCCTCAAACTGTAATGAAGGACTGTTGGTGGCCATTTAAAAAAAAATTAGTGAATAGTGTTCGTTTCAGTAAATTCAACAAAAAATATAGTGATGTTGTAAACCAAATTCAACTCAGATCATAAGTAAATAAGGAACATAGATGAATGGACTATATAGATCTTAGATGTTATATACAACTTTAATGAAAATAATCTTATAAACAAAGTTACTAAATTATTTGAATTAGTAGTAGAGGCAACCAACTTATCGGAACGACCCAGGCAGTTAACCAGGATTGGAAGAATGCCAGAAGATATCAAATCATCAATTGGGGGGTTGCGATCACTCGATAATAATTTTCTAAATTAATAAAAATTAATTAACATTCAATAAACATTTGTAATCACAAAAAAGGTGAAAAATGTATCAAATTAAAAATTATTTTATTTAAAGTTTTTGTAACAAAATGATTACAAATATCAGACACCTGGCTGATTGAACTGCATTTAGTTGGATATCAGGATCTCCACTGGAAGCATTCTGAACGATCATGTCAAGCGATTGAGTGACGGGTTTCTCATTATCTTCCGAATCCGTACTCTCCAAATTAGGGACATTTCGTTTTTTTAAGAGATGTTCATCTCTTTTGTTCTTTATATAAAATTAAAATTATTTAAAAAATTTAAAAAATTTAAAAAACTTTCTAAAAGTAAAATCGTCAACACACCTTTCTCAGTTCTACTGAAATTTCAGTTCGCTGTCTTCTCATGACCTAAAACAAAATTTAGGCGATATTTTTGTTTTCATAATAAAATTAAAAAATGACGGAATCCATTTTTTTCTAAAAAAAACGTGATTTGTGACGCTTGAACTTACAAAACCAAAAAATAAAACAGAAAAAAAACCCAAACCACCTCTGAATCTTTCCCTTTGTTTTTAAATAATAATTCGCGACCTTTATCGGAAGCCATTTTTAACTTTTTACAATAAAATTTAAAATATTTATTTTTGTCAGCGAATATGCAGGAAGCAGAACTAGATGAGAATGAAAGATGGATGGAATGGAGGCGAAGTATTCGATTCGACCGAATACAAAATAATCCTTTCGAAAATATATTTTGATGTCATAAACAACAGTAAAATATATTAAATAATACACATTTTAAAAACAAATTATTAAAATAAATGTTTAACTAAAAAAGAATAATTCGACTTTTATTAGTTTCTGACTTTTTTTGAGACGTATTTCATTATTCATGGAACGTTCTATTGATAAACTGATTTTTATAAACTAGATTTATTATAGATTTGCAATTTTACAAATTTAAACTACTTATTTCTTGATTCACTCTCACAATTTCCTTTCCAGCCGTAACCTGAAAAGGTTTTTTAAATGCTCATCTTACTTACTAAAATAACTTTCAATCAAGTTAACATTTCATTTCGTAACATTATTCAAATTTAAATAGTTCAAAAAAATCTCCTAAATTTTCACTGAAATAAAAATTAAAAGTTTTTGTGTTTTTTATTTTAATGATGAAAATTGAGAAGTTTCAATCTCAAGAAACGAATTGTCATAATGTGAAAAGGGAAGTAAATTTAATTTTCAATTCCTTTGTCCTTCTTTGTATGCCTGCCTACAGAGTAGAATCCTGAATGCTGAACAAAAATTGACACCTAAAATTCGGAAATTTAAACTAATTAGGGAAAGGAAGAAATCATTGATGTTTGATGTATCCCCTAATCAGCGATCTGCAACCATGAAGGCAAAAAATAGATGTAAATTAGAATTAGAAGATAAACCATGAAGAAAAGAATTAAAAAGTATTAAAAATTAACAATTGCAGCCATTACTTTACAATGGAGTTATCGAAGTTAGTATTGTAGCAGTCATTAGCTGATAATATTATTTACATTTTGGTACTGGTTCATTAAATTATACAATCTCTCTTATTAATTAACTAATTAATTAATTATTTGTTTATTTATTTAAATAGAACATTCAAGTGTGTGTGTGTGTGTGTGTATGTTGGATCATTATATATTATTATTATTTAAAAAATGGGATGGGAGAGAGAGAAGGAGGGAGAAAGAGAGAGAGAGAGAAGGAGGGAGAAGAGAGGGATGGACTACAATTAGGCAGTTTTATAATAACAACAGTCATTATTAATCTTGCTGATGTTAAATTGTCATTTTAATCAAATTTAAAGTACATATTAATATAATGATACATAATACTTATAATACTATGTATTGTATATGAATGTAGGTGTGTATGTATGTATGTTTGTATTATATGTATGTATGTATGTCTGTATTGTATGTATGTATTGTATTTATGTATGTATGTTTTGTTTCTACCAGCATATATATATACAAATTTTATAAGCATGTCAACACTTAAAATGTATTGCTTGTTATTATTGAAATTAGTCACATACATATATACAGACACACACACATACACATCCACTCAGATGTTATTTGCCATAATTATATTGTTAATTATTTTATTTATTAATATTCATTGATAATTATTACATAAACATTTTTTATATAAGGATGATTGATCTGTATAATGTAAACCATTCCAAGGACCAATCAGTCAATTAATTAATCAATCAATTAATCAGCCAATCAATCATCAATCAATTAATCAATCAATCAATCAATGGGTTAATTATTCAAATAATTCTAATAGCTATAATAATAATAATAATAATTATTATTATTATTATTATAAGGTATAATTAGTGAAATAAGCATGGGAACATATTTAAATATTATAGCAAAGTACATATATATATATACATGTATACATATATATATATATACACACATGTATACATACATATATATATATATATATATATATATATATATATATATAAATATATAAACTGTATCCAGTAGCTTCTTTTTGATCATTCAATAAATATCAACAATAATAATTTATATAATTATTATTTTTACAAATTAATTATAGATGCAACAGTCACCCATTTTAACTAGTGAGTTTTCATAATTTTGTGAATCACCTATAATTATTATTATATATTGATAATTATTATATATTAGAATAACTGATACATATATAATACATATATATATATATATATATATTACATATATATGCATATGTATATATATTTATACGCTATATAAATATATGGTCCCCAGGTATTGTCTTCTAATTATATGTGATCTTGTTGACATGGCTAAAAGTCCACTGGTATATAGACTCATTAAGATATATTGATTTACAATAATATAATTTGTTAAATTTTGATTATAATTAATAATAATTATAGTTAATAGTAATAATTATTATAATATTATTATTGTTATTGTTATGATATTTAATTATGTTTTAATGATAGTTGATGATATTGTTGTTGAGGATCTTGTTGTATGCTATTATATGGTCTGTTTGAATTTGTTGCTTTCTTTCTTTTCTAATTTTTATCTTAATAATGCTTGAATATATTGTAAAAAATAAATAAATAAATAATATATATATATATATATATATATATATATATATATATATATATATATATATATATATGAGATGATCCTATAAAATATACAAGTATGTATATATTTTTTTGTTGTTTTATAGTTTGTATGGACGCTTGTGTGTGTGTGTGTGTGCGTGTGTGGGTGGGGGTGTGTAAGAAGAATTATTCTGGGTACTGTAAATACATTATTATATTTGCCCTGAATTTTAATCAGTTTGAGTCAGATTGTACTTTGGTTTTATAGGCTTGCAGTGAAAAATTAACTCTAGAGGTATGTTTGTTTTGTTTGTGTGCGTGTATGTGCGCGTGCGTGTGTGTGTTTGTGTGTGTCGTGTGTCAGGCAGGCAAACAAACACACAGATATTCGCACAAACGTAAGTTGACATTTAAAAATACATGATTTATTTTTTGTAAATATGTATGTACGTTTGTATGTTTGTGTGAATGTTTGTGTGTGTGTGCGTGTGTAAGTGTGTGTGTGTGTACGTGCATTGGTATTCCTTGATTTCTTAAAAAGAAGACAATAATAATGACGATGAATGATGATGTTGATTTTGAGTTTGATCTTACTAATGAACGAATGAATGAATGGGTCAATAAATAAAGGAATGAAAGATGGAATAAAGGAGTGAATGAATTAATGAAGGAATACCCGTTAGTGTGTTTGTGTTTGTGTGTGTGTGGGGGGGGGGGTATTGTATATGTATATAAATATATATTTCGGATTTACGGTTGTTTTCAGTTTCGGTGCTTTTGATTTGCGAAAAAGTTTTGAATTAAATGTTTATCTATTCATCTATCTATTCGTTTTTCTATCGAAAAAAGTATTTATTTCATTAAATAATTAATTAATTAGTTAATTTATTTATTTGAGTTTGACTGCTGTTCAGTTTTTACAAGACATTGATTGTACTTAAAAGTTATTTGATAGGATTGCCCTGCCTACAGGATTCTGTAAGTAAATGTTAAATCTTAGAAGAATTGTTTCTTAGTCTTCTTTTTCTACTACTTTTACTACTTATTTTCTTCTTCTACTACTACTACTACTACTACTACAACTACTACTACTACTGCTTCTTCTACTTCTTCTTCCTCTACTACTTCTTTTTCTTCTTCCTCTACTACTACTACTACTTCTTTTTATTATTATGATTATTACTATTATTCTTCTGATTATTTTTATTATTCTCATTACCAAATTTAAACGCCTGCCATGTAGAAAAAAATTTGCGATTTTAATTATGCCTGCAGAAGATAACTCTTAAA